ATTAAGACACTCTAGTCAAAGCAGTTAAAGTAAAGTTAAGATCATACAATTTAAGGTACTTATACAAGAGTCAAAAACTGAGCCTAAGCGTCACAACCAAAGTACTCACTATTCTCAAAGTATAACAAAGTCAAGAGATATTGCTTCAATTCAAAACACAACATAATGGCTCCTACTCCCAAAAAAAACTAACTACACCCAGTTCAAACAAAACCCTTGGAAACTAATCGCGGCACAAAGAAAAACCAAAGGGTGATTGCTACACTACCTAACAAAAGAAAATCTTTTTTGTCTTTTTTTTCTTTAGACTTAAATCCCTCAAGAAAATTGTCGGATAGATCCATCATCGGAAAAAGTCCAATCTTTTTAAAAAAATATTATTTAATTAAATTAACACAGTTAAAGTAGCATGAAAAGTTACCCAGACTTCCTCCTCACCCCACACTTAAAATTGTGCATTGTCTCCAATGCATATCATAACTATAAGAGGGTAAGAGAAACTCCCTGGTAGGCCAATGGCCGAAGCACTAGCAGCTCATGGGGTACTCAGACTTCTCCCAGACTTGGTCTTTCGTGCGAGTACCTTACACTTAGTTCCAACCCTCTGGTTTGCTGTTGCATCTTTCCAATAGCTTTGCTTTCCATGCTCCTAGAAAATAAAAAATTGACACTACAAAAATAATACAATTAAAAAAATAAAAAAATAAAATAAAATAAAGGAAAACAGTAAAGTTGGGTTGCCTCCCAACAAGCGCTTGATTTAACGTCGCGGCACGACGCGAATCACTTTTTGCCTCCACCTCGAGCTTATGAATTGAACCCCCATTTGGCATCAAGTTTTCGGCTATGCTCCAGGGGTGGAGGAACAAATCTAATTGGCCCAAGCAACCATTGTACTATTCTACACTTCTTGGCTTTTAGATGATGTATGTAGTCCTGTCTTTCTGGCAAGAAAAGTTCCAGAATGTAGGCACCTTGTTCCTCATTCCTTGACTTCTCAATCGTCTCGGATGACTCTATTTCCATATCGTCATCCAATCACAATGTAGAAAAATGTTTGGAGTGAGGACCAATGCGCTCACACACATGAACTTCAAGACTTTCAGCATCCTCAACATCAATGATGCTAGAGTCAACAAAATTTGTATCCTCAATGTCCTTGGCTGACTCTGGTTTCACTTCTACAACACCGACATCCTCAAATTGTAGTTGGCTAGGTTGTTGGTGTTCTACTCTGACCTCCTCAATTAGCACCTCAAATTCACGCTCTTCTTGGCTTCTATCCTCAAAATTGGCTTGCTGAGCATTAAAAGCTTCAACCACTTGACTCACTTGAGCCTCCAAGTTGCGAATAGTTGCATCTTGCCTTTCTATCTGCAATTGTTTTTCATTGTTTTGCTCCAGAATGCACTTTAGCATATCCTTGATCTCCTTCAGGTCCGCATTTCCAAGTTTTTTATTCCTATTAACTTCACAAGAAAAGGTAGAACCATCATAGTAAGGGGTTGGGGGAAGATAAGAAATATAAGCACAACTATGAAAGTGATCATTTTTACCACCACACACATCACACACATTCCACAAATAAGATTGAGTTGGTGCACATAACTCGCTCTCGGGAATATTTTGATAATTTTGATACGGGTGGTTTCCTTTACAATATTTATGAGGATCAATAGTAGAATTATCCACACCTAAATTTTCATAATTCCAAGATGTCATGTTTCTCAAATCAACGGTTATAATAAAATTAAAAAATACAAAAAAAAACATGATAAAATAAAAGTTCAAACTCGCAACCTAGCAATATATACAGCTACAACTACACCATTAGTTCCTCGGTAACGGCGCCAAAATTTGATCACGCCCAACTCTAGTCCTAAAAAAGATAAACGGTCGCTGCAAAAGTGCAAATATAATCTGGTCTTAAAGTCCGGAGTTGAATCCTACAGAGAACTAAGGCTTAGCTATAGCTGTTTGATATCACTAAGAAGATAAGTTTGAACAATTTTCTAAATTATAAAGATTGAGATTTATTTCTAACTAATTAACTAGTAAATACTAGAAAGCGGTAAAATTAACAACTAACGAGACAAAGGATTGGAGACTAAATTAAGAAGGTCTAGAGTTATAACTTCCTCAATTGTCGGAATCCTTCTAGCTATGTTCCCTACAATTTTGCTAATGTATTCTCTACTGATCGTGAACACTTTAGGTGTCATAATTCTCTCTCTAGCAACTACAACAATTTACTAGATGTATTCTCTCGAACTACACTAGCTGGCACTAATTCACCGCTCACTATGATTTCACCAAGGTTTCGTTATCTCTAATCCTGCCCCTAAACCCTCCGTATTGATCTCTCACATACATTAGGAGTGATGTTGTTCAAAAACTACCTAAATATGTACGCTCTCTGTAGCAGTACACACTAAATAGGCACAGTCAATCGATGGCCATTCAATCAACTGAAATAAATACGTAGCTCAACAAATAGATAAATTCAAAGGCTAAATTATATTAAAACCCAACAAGAATTCATCCTACAAAAGGTTCTATCAAAACTCTAGATAACAAATTAGCTATTCATAATAGTATGTAAAACTACAGTACTAAAAGTCATAACCAATAATGAATATAGGAAGAAGGAAGTGAAAAACTCGTAGAAAAATTCTCCGCCTTGCTCTTAGTGTGTTCTTGCCTCCTTAGGTCGAATCTCCGGTCTCCTTGGCCTCCTTAGGTCTAAATTATGTCAAAAGTATGTCAAAGTTGCTCAAAATACCATTTTTCCATGTATATATACCAAGTAGGGTCGGGCCCAAATAATTACACCTTATCCTATGTGAAAAAGGTCACTTTTCCCGGAAAGGATGTGCGCGGCCGCGGATCTGGCCGTGGATTTTACCCAAGTTCTGTCCTCGGCCGCGGATCTGACTGTAGAGCACTTGTCGTGCATTGTTCACCCTATTCTGTTTGGCATTTGGAAAAACATAAAACATAAAAGTTGTATCCCTTTGAGTTATCTTTCCAACCATATACTGTGGAGACCAAATGGAGTTCTGAGAGAAAATTTATGTGCATTTTACTAGACAGTGCGCAATATGCCTACTCGATTTTTCGTTTCGTTGCTCTATCATCCTTTGATCCCCGAATACGATCCCGGCTTAATTCCTTGGGCTTTTACTCAGACTTCAAAACTCCAAATCACTTGAATTCATTTCATAACATCTACATAGCTCGGAATCACTCCTACAAAGCATAAAACACACAATTAGTGCAAAACACTAACGATTAAAGCTCAAACTAAATTAAAGTGCAGTAAATTAGAGTGTAATAAGCGACTAAAATACGTAATTATAGCCTATCATCAGACACCGTCACATTGTAAAGATGAATGATCTCGCGAATTTTGATCTCAGCCAACCGCTATGAAGAATAGAAAACTGGTACTAGAACGAAATGTGTCGACTTGATCAACATGTCCACAATCACCCATACAGCATCAAATTTCTTCTGAGTCCGTGGGAGCCCAACAATGAAATCTATGGTAATACGCTCCCATTTCCACTCAGGGATCTCAAGCCCCTGAAGCAAACCACCAGGTCTATGATGCTCGTGCTTTACTTGCTAACAATTCAGACACCGAGCCTCATATGAAACTATATCCTTCTTCATTCTTCTCCCCCAATAATGCTGCCTCAAGTCCTAATACATCTTGGCAGCACCCCAGATGAATGGAATACCGCAAACTGTGGGCCTACTCAAAAATCAACTCACGAAACTCATCCACATTGGGCACACAAATCCGATCTTGCATCCGCAGCACCCTATCATCTCCAATAGTAACCTGCTTGGCACCACTGTACCGCATCGTGTCCTTAAGGACAAGCAAATGGGGGTCGTCATAATGACGCTCTCTAATGCGTTCATACAAAGAAGACCGAGAGACCGTGCAAGCTAGAACACGACTGGGCTCCGAAACATCTAACCTCACGAACTGATTGGCCAAAGCCTGAACATCTGTGCAAGCGGTCTCTCACCAACAGGAATATAAGCAAGGCTATCCATACTCACAGCCTTTCTACTCAAGGCATCGGCCACCACATTGGCCTTCTCGGAATGATACAAAATGGTGATATCATAGTCTTTTAACAGCTTCAACTACCTCCGTTGCCTCAAATTGAGATCCTTTTGCTTGAACAAATACTGCAGACTCCGATGATCCGTGAATAACTCACATGACGCGCCGTAGAAGTAATGCTTCATAATCTTCAATGCATGAACAATGGCTGCCAGCTTCAAGTTATGAACAGGGTAATTCTTCTCATGAACCTTCAATTGTCGCGACGCGTATGCAATCACCCTGCCATCTTCATTTTAATTTTGTAAGATTGAACACGTACGAATCACTAACATGTTCTCAAAATTCAATTTTTGTCGATTACTTTTTTGGATCATGCGAGTATTGTTAATCCAAATTTCTCACATGTGCACAAAGAGTTTAACCTCACTTATAAATTTGCTATTTTTTAATATAACATATATGAAAAATTATTTTTCAGGTTGATAAAACTCATATGGTACATAAATTTATTTCCATAAAAAAAATATTGGCGAACAAAGAAATTAGAGATAGAGCAAAATCGATTATATCAAATTGTTTAAGTGCAAACTGGAAGCGATAAGAATGAAACAGTAGAAGACAAGTTATATTCTAAATGAGTTATAATATTCTTCGATCATTCTAAAGAATGGCAACTTCTTATATTTTTATACATTATTTTTTATATAATATTAACTCAATATTGGCAGATGCAATACGAGAAAACAATAATAGTAAGATATTCGAGCATTTATGTGAGGCATATTACTTTTTTAAAATTTTTATTTTGCAACTCAAACACATTATGTTGTATATAAGAAATATATTGCGAGACTTTTTCAAAATTGTATATTCATGAATATAGGATACACGCGCAAAGCACGTACTCTTAGACTAGTTTACCAAAAAAAGAATGAAATTCTCTATTCATGACCTTGTTCTCGTTTTCGCTTTTACTATTGGATATATTGATCCGTAAGTCAAAGCTCACAATATTCAGTCCCCAACACGTCAAAAGAACAAAATCATTAAAAGCTTGGGTCAAGCCAAACCATCGTACATTAGTGTTTCCAGTCAATATATGCAGACAAATTTGAAGTTGGAATTGAGAATGAACGATAACCCAATATCTGTCTTCCTTCAAAATGAACTCGTATGGAATATATCTCAGGAAGTATTCTTGATTAGCAAATGTTATTTTAGTATGCAAACATGTGTCTTCTCTGACAATTGACTTTTAGATGAGATAGTCACATAAATAAGATGGTCGCCCATTATCAAAAATATCTTGGCCTGTGAAAAGGAATTAGATTTACACGTGAGAGGGTATATTGAAAACATGATTAAATATATAAAAATTGCATTTTCTTGAACAACTTCAAGTTTAGATGAATTGCTCAGATAATTCAATATCAAACAGGCTAAAATCAACTCCTACAACCACAGCAATTTTCTACTTCTGACTCCATGTCTGCTATACAAGCTAACAATATTGTTGCTATATACTAATTTTCGCCTGTCCAATATTATGGATAACAGCCCCCACCCNCGTGTTCATAGTCATCCCCTGGAATGCTACTTTGACTGATTGAAAGTCATGTCAAGTTTACACCCTTGATGACTACTCGAAGCACCTGAATTGACATGTTCATTCAAATTAGTCGGAGGTGATTCTTCTCCATATGATGTCCAATACCAATATCTTAGTGTGAATCCTCTCCGGTAAAAATGCAAATTAACTTCATCTGGTGGGAAGTGTTTCATATTTTTACAGTGCTTACAAGGACACCTTATGACTCCCTCAGACAAGTAGATCTATTGACGACAAGCAAAGCTCATAAATTCCTCCTTGCCACTTATAAATTCATCTGTATACCCTGTTCGACCAGGGAGAAGTCTATTTTCTATCCATTTTCTGTGCTCGGGAATTTTCATTGTCTGTACCAAGAGATAAACTTATTTAAGCACATAAATAATGACATTTAGACACTAGACAAGGCGTACGTATAATATCACCAGTTATGTAATAAATTTACACATAAATTTGTAGGAAAAAGAGAAGAAAAATGAAACATCTTAATATCAACTTTTAGAATTCCCAGTGGTCTACTGCCTGCCAGTCATATACTACAATGAAAATATGCAGAATATAAAGCACCCAAATAGTTCATAGCTTTTACACAAAATGTAGTTGTAAGTTATCAAACAGAGGTGAACTTTAATCTAAATGATGAAAAGGAGTTGTAGAGCTTGAAGATTTTAAAGCCATTCCAGGTTTGAGTAAAATATAAAATGTGCCAGATTTCATATTCATTTCAAATTAAATCTAATTAAACATGCGATAAATGTAGCAGCATGCTTCAATGATAGATCAAAATATGCAGAATATTACTTGATAGTGTAAGTTGAAGTTCAGTATCTAAATACAAAAATGGAAAATGGCAAACACATATCATCTTGTAGTTCAAAAAAATCCAAGGACACATAAACCATATGATTGATTAACACATAAATTGAGTTATATATATTGATACCTCCATATTAGATATATGAAGAAGGAAAATCCAGGAAGGTACAGACAACCTGAAGATAGGTAAAAAAAAAAAAAAGATTTTTATGTATATATAATATATGTTGATTTTCCTTGGCTTTTTCTTATCTTTACATCTTTAGAACCATAGTCCAGCCCACAGAGGGGCGAAGTGCAGCAATAGCCACTTTTAAGCCCGCTATTTAAAATATATCCACAATTTACAATGTATTTAAAGATTAGCCAATTCACCCAAACTTAAGGACTAAGTATCCTAAATTTAGGAATTCAAGACTTGGTGTCCTGAATTTTTGAGCTGTTAATTTGAAATTAAGGATTGAGTGTCCTGAATTTCTGAACTACTAATTTAAAACTCAGGACACAATTTTCGAACTTAGGGCACGGTGTCCTGAAGTTTGAACTATGAGGTTTAAACTCTAGGACGCCGTATCCTGAAGTTTGAGCGAAATTGACTAATCTTTAAATATATTGTGAACTGTGAATATATTTTAAACATGCTTAAAAGTGGCTACCTAGTGTCATTTCCACCCCTTAGAGTAAGAGCATATTCTGTAACTCGATTGCCTAATGCTACTACAAGCTCCCGAGTAACTTCTGTTTGCTGTCCTAACTAGAGATACTTGCATTTTCAAGCTCTTTAGCTTGTCATTCTAATGTCACAAATTGCCCAGATACTTTGCAAGAGCCACATACATTAACCCCATATTATTTTGAGAGCGACTATACAGTGTCATTTTCCCAAAAAGAAAAGACAAGAAGGCAAAGATGCCATTTGTGGTTCTCAAATTTCTAAATGTCATTGCTTTTTTAATTTTCAAATCAAAATATTATCTCCAAACCACTTATTAACATCTGGTTTTACTCCCAAACAGGGCCAAAATTCACTCGTCAAAACCACAAAGTGGGAAGATTGTTCATTCGTTGATTATAATTTACCTCGCTACCCACAAAATAGGCAAAATTTCAAGGAAAGATCAAGGTAGTTCTCACCATCCAAATTAAAAATGTTTTTGCAATAACCTTATTCTTGATTTCCTCTTTCTTGAATTTATCAACAATCCAGCAATGTATAGTACCCAAGATAAAGTATATGAGTGCGAAAAATTTCACTTTCGAACTTTTCTATTCATCTTAAAGGGTTAACGAAGAATCCATTTTAGTAGTTCATGAAGAATGAAAGTCATCTACATGATTGTGTAACCTGGGCCGCCTCCACCTTCTGGAACTGTCCATTCGATATTCTGTCTCGGATCTTTAATACTGCAGGCCTGAAAGAATACAAACTTAATATTGTTACCTAGATGCCAATATGAAGTGTCATCAAGTAGCCTATAAGCATAAAAACTAAGCGAGTGAACAGTAGAGTCGTTGAATTTCCATAGGACTATCAGCAAGAACCCTTGCAGCTTGCGACGCACACAACATGTTTTATGGATATTATTGCAGCTTAGAGATGTCTACACCAGGATTTGAAACATATTTCATGGCTTTAACATGTAAAAGCTTTAACTTAGTGCTGGAAGATTGGACCAGGGAGACAAGACAGCATTTTACCTTGCAGTGCAAGCAGTTTTGAGCATTGATCTGTAACTTTAAGTCACCCGTCTCATCCGGTATGTACCTATAATTTTGAAGAGGATAATTAAACAAATGCATCACACATGAGAAGGAAATGGAAAAAAAAATATTATCTAGATGAGAATATTACTCATAAACTCGTGCAGGACAATATCGTGCCTCAGGTCCAGCATACTTGGGCAAGTTGACATTTTCTGGAACTGTAGGATCTTTCAGAAGAAGATGAGATGGTTGGTCATGATCATGATTTGTGTTGCTCCTACAGGAAGGCAATTAGAAAGAAAAATCAGCAGTTTATTATGAAAGAAGATCTGTCCACCAAGGGAGGAAGGGGGCTAAAAGGAAAGATATTTTAGTCCTTGCAGCATACAGAAAGAAGACAATGCATGGGAACTTCTTTAGCCCTGATATATTACGTGTCGAATTAGTGCTTTAAGGTGTCGAATTAGCCCTGACTCACCTACCGGCTCACTAAGGTATCAGAAAATGTTTGTGACATACAGTTTACCTGTATAGAGAGGTCGGTACATCAAAAGTTACAGCGCCATCTGGCTTCGGGTACTCAATTGGTGAGAATACTTGTGCTTCCTGCAGATAAGGACCAAATTCATGAAATTTCGGGAGCCAAACACTTGATCTGTGAGCTATACGCTGCAATTTCAGAACATAATCAACTTCCTTCAAAAAGAGCTCACTTAATCTGAGCTAGATATTGTGATACAAATGGACATGGAAGATTTTAGAATCGGCTTTGTTAGAATTAGTTCATGTATAGTGTCCCACATTGGTATAGAAGACTTTAGGTATATATGTAAACATTGTATATAAATAGGCTTACTGTAAAACACTTAACGTATATCAATAATATATTTTTTCCCGTGCTTTCTCACAGGCTTGGTAAACAAGAAACTACGGTTAAGAGTTCATTTGGTAAATGAGAAAGATCATCTCTCTTAGTTTTGAGAGAATATAACAAGAATAAATGTTGGTTTTTTCCAACGATGCCTGAAGAATTTAAGGAGACTTATGTATTTTTCCTTAGCATAAGTGGATCGGGAGCATCCACGACTTGCATCACTGGTCATTGGGAATCCTCACAAAGCAGATGAAATCCTTTTGTCCACATCCTAATAATCTCCTAGGTGATAAACATTAGGAAAAACTTTTTTTTTCCTACACCCATAATAGTGTACTTACAGATTATAAGTAAGATTTAGGAGCAGGACAAGCTAACCTAATAGGCTAATGTCCAAGCTCCACCAAGCTAAGGAAAACATATTTTCTATAAGGAAAACATATTTTCTATGAGAAAGCATGGGAGAAATATATTATTGATATGATCAATTATAATACAATTAGCCCTATTTATACAATACATATCCTATTCCTATTCTATGTGGGACTAGAACCAATTCATATTATTTACATAACTATCTAACACTCCTCCTCAAGCCGGTGCATACAAATAATAAGTACCGAGCTTGTTACATATGTAACTAATAGGAGGACCAGTGAGGGACTTGGTGAAAATGACTCTTGAAGGGAAAAAGAACATTGACTCAAGTGAAACATTTTTATGCTTTTGTACAATTGTTGGAGCTCACATGACATAACAACTTGTATAAGATGATTATTTAAAGTATGTGGAGGATACCACTTTAAGATGTCCTTCCAAGTCCACAACAAGAGCTATAAATAATATATATGCTTTACCCAGCAAAATAAAGCATCTCGTATTAGATTAAATCAAATAAACTCTTACGATAAAAGAATTCCTTACACTTGTAGCTTCATGATCAGGTTTCCCATGCTTTAGAGTGACTGGAGATCTTCCCTTGAGTATGTAACTGCCAAATATAAGCTGATCCATTTACCATACATGTCTACAAATTGGTATTAAATAAAAAAACCATGAGTGTTGAAAAGACGTTGTGACTAAGAGCATGTTTTGTATGGAAAAATACCAAAAGAATTTTGTCTCACTATCCAACACTCTAAAATTTAGAAACTATTTCAAACGGACTTTAGGAGAAAAACATAAGCAAACAAAGTTAATTTAGAAACTATTTCAAACGAACTTTAGGAGAAAAACATAAGCAAACAAAGTTGCTTTTCCCCTATTAATGAAAAATATGGAAAATATTTTGGTATTTAGTTGCCAGAAAATGACTCATTTTCTGGAAATTCTTCATATCAAACACACACTAAGCAAAAGGCGGAATCTTACTGCTCTACGGCGCTTATAGCCAAACCAGGATAGAGCCCATACTCAAATGCCTGCAGCAGAGAAGTTAATAAAGATAGAAGATTAAACTGGGAATATTAACAAACGTCCTGTAGCTGTCTAACTGAAAAATAGTAGCTGAATTCAATATATAAGAGGCAACAAAAAGTTGGTTGCCAGAGCCATTTGTCTCACTAAATCAGGAAAAGCATAGAGGTGCTCCCTTCCAGAAAAAATTTATGCACTATGCTCTGTTAGTACTATACTTTTGAGATGATGCAATGTGATGATTACCTAACAAATATGCTCAAAGGTTTTCAAAACAGAACACTCACAGGACGATAGTTCCTTGCAGTATATAGTTCTTCCCATATCCATGAACTTCGTAAATTGTCCCAAAAATTTTCAATCTTCAAGCCTTCTTGGAGCGTACTGAATACAGATTCTGCCACTAGCATTCCTGTCAGACATTTGAAGTTAATAGGTGCATCATTTACTTTCTTGAGGATAAGCAGAACAAAAAAAGTCGGGAAAATCCCATGTTTAATATCTTGTCCCGTACTCATTGGAGTACGATAAAGAGTTTTCAGATGCATCACTAGCTATGAAGCCGTGAAGCCCTTTATGTTGAAGACTTGCAATTTTGGAGAACCAATTCGGAAATATGTAATTCTTAATCAAGCAGGCATTACAAAGTTTTTGCCCAAGGAGAATGGCCTTAGCCAATTAGAAAAAGTAAACTTTAGTCTTTTAAGAAATCCAAACTGGTTTCTCTTTTTTTCTTTTGGTATGCTATTAATTGTTAAAGCGACTAGTAACGGAAAAGAGAATAGTACAAGCAGTTCTAGTAGATAATGAAGGTAGAATGCCCCCCCCCCCTCCCA